GTGTGCATGTGGAATTGTAGCAGCAGCTGGGCGCGCAGCCGTAGAGCGCTAGCGCGTAGAGGAGAGGTGGGGGGGTAACATATCATACGAACAGCAAGTATGAGTGGGATATGAGTGCTATTGGAGGCACAGTGAGGTGGTGGTGTGGGATGCCCATTGCACGGCCATCAAGATGACCATTGCACGTCCCTCGAGATGCCTATTGCACATCTCTCAAGATCCATTGCATGGCCCTTGAGATGAGCGACATGTTGCCACACGTGGAAGGGAGAGGAGAGCTACACACATGATGGGGGATGGGGCGTGGGAGATGGTGGGGAGGGGTCATGCAAGGAGCACAAAGAGCGATGCGTAGAGGACATGGTGCTGTGCTATGTTTCTGCCTTGGCATACACAGAGAGGAACTTCCTTGACCCGCCCCTAGCTCACTCCATCCTTCTCTCCTGATATCTCATTCCTCCACTGCTACCTCACTCCTCCTTTGCTAGCTCACACCTCACCTGCCAGCTCATTCACCTGCCATCTCACTTGCCTAGCCTCCCAGCCTTGCCTATTCGATGTGACCTACGAGAAACTGCGCGTGCAGAACTGGAGGTGGGTAGGAGGGATGGGGAGCAGGAGGGAACAAAAGGAGGGGAGCGCGCAGAAGAGGAGTGCGAAAGAGGGGGGGCACATACGTGGGGAAGGGTCAAGGGAGAAGGCCGGAGAGGATCGCAAGGGCGAGGGGGAGAAGCGGGAAGCATGGTGTGGTTGGGATGAGTCTACGCGGGGATGGACGGAGGGCTGGGCCATGGAGGGCTAATAGGAGCAGGGCAATGCGTGCTCAGTCGCACGATGGCGACACACCTCGTCGCATCATTCTGTCCATGCGATGCACCTCTTTACATCGACACCTCATCGCATAGCCCTGTCCCGGCGACGCAACTCTTCCTGATGACTAGTGGCAACATCGCCACCACCTCTTATCAATACACTGCGCCCGTCCCGCCGGGTACGATTCCCCCGCCGCGCCTTCCTCCTTCACTTCCGTCAAAGGATACACCAACGCAGCGGTGCGCTGCATTACCACGTGCTGCACCTAGCCTGCTGCGGCACGGCGAGTGAGGCGGCTTGACGTACGTGCAGCAAAACGAGCGCGGCGCGCCTTAGAGATTGTGGGACGAGCTGAGGCAGGCCGACAGTCAGCATGGTTTTCGCTGCCATGGGGATGCGGAGAGCACCCATCATTTCAGGAATCAGTGGCAAGGAGGCGCCGCGACTAAGCAAGGAAGAATAGACGCGCATTGGGTACATACTCGATACAATCAATCATGCATAACAATTTTAAATTCCTTTTGCCTTCCTTTCTTTGCTAAATAACATCCTTCATAAGAGCTCACCTTATTCAATCTCTAGTGTGGTTCGTTCCCTTGCACCGCTTTGAACCGTGAACAAATACTTATGAACCTCCAAGTAAACCACCCTTCAAAGAAATTCGCTCATAGAAACTCGACAAGCTGCGAAGTGCAGTGCACTCACGTGCCATCTCCTAGAGGGACATATTTCTGTCTTCTTTTCCATGCCATAAGTCGACACCCCCGGCTTCCCATTTCGTGTTGCACGCTTCCTTTCGAGCACCGACCATCCGCCGCAGAGCCTCGAGGCGCCTCACAAGCAAGCTCGGCTGGCGCGTGTTGCGATGCCGTGACGTGGCGTCACGTCACCTCTCATGATCGCCATGGACGCGACGGGAGCGGCGGAGTCGGCAACGGCGATGGCGGCATGGCGCAGCGAGGTGGCACGGCAGCTGGCGGATCGAACCGCGCTAGAGCATGCCAATGGGCTCGCAACACTCGACGCGCTGCTCGCTGGTACGCGCTGTCCGCTCTTCTCCCGCCCGTTCTCCCTCCGCCTGCCTCAAACAGCCAAACATATAGCAATTATAGGTTGAAAGCTATTTTATTTTCTAGGAGGGTGCATTCCCGAAGGTTCGGATTAGTGCTTGTTTTAGAGTATAAATATGCCTTGTACTCACCTATAGTGCAACATTTTGAGTGAGAATTCGATCCTATGACAGTGACGAGCTGCAAATAGGGTGACAAGCAATGCCCTTCGGCAGTTGGTGGCGAGTTGTCTAGATGCTGCTGGCGGCTATAAGTCTAGTTGATGACGTCGCCTATCTGGTGGCTAGTTGTTGCTGGCAGCTATCTGGCTAGCTGTTGATGCCGTCGATCTGGCAGTGAGCTGCTGCAGCCAGCTGGCTGCGCACTTCGGCAGCTTCTCTAGCTGCTAGTGTGGCTGTGTGCAGGGTGTCGCGCCGACGGCGGGCAGTGGCGCATCTCCCTCATAACCCCCCAGAGCAGCGGCGCCTCTCCGTCACAACCCTCCAGAGCAGCGGCGTTCCATGTGCAATGGTATGCACAAGGTAGCATCCAACCAACCGACGGTGTGTGGATGATGGAGGCGAGCTGCATGTGACGCTGCTGCTTGTTGCTGCCGCCCTGGAGCATTTCTGCTGCCTTGGGCGAGTCACTCTTTGTATCCACGTCTATAGCTAAGTCTCCTCTCCGCAGCCCTGTCCTCTCCTCCCTTTCTCCTTCGCTATCCTCATCTGTCTCTTTTGCTCTTGAAAAATATCATGGTGCATTTGTCTCTTAGCGCATGGTGGTGGTGTTCCATGGTGCTATGGCAGCATAGCTCATGTAGAGTGCACTGTAGTGGGAGTGGTGGGATAGAGTAGTGGAGAGGGAGTGCATTGGCTGTCCCCCCTCGTTGGCTCAGCTTGCCATGGATCACTGTCGCCATGCGCCTTCCCCGTTCCCCCTCTCCCATTACTTGATTCTTGATGTTATACATATGCGCATCTACGTTATGCTTGCTGCTTCATTTATTCTCAGTTCGTTGACTGCCCTCTGTTCGAGTCCAATCTCCTCGCATCTCCTCCCCCTTCCGTCCTCTGGTCTCAGGGCAAATGGAGTGCCGGCGGTAGAGCAGCAGAGCAGTGGATGCAGTAGCTCGGCTTCGTCAACACCAGTCAACAGCAGCCAGCCTCAGTCAGCCTAAGTCCATGCCAGTCACTACCAGTCCTCAGCACCCACACCCGTGACCTCATTGTGGTATGGTATGCATCCCTTTACCCGCACCTGCACTCTTTTTCGCTCCACCATGTGATTCCCCCCATTCTTTCTTTCTTTCACTCCTCCATTTCACTTCGTCCGCTCTCTCCTTTTCTTCTGTCTATTGCTGCTGGCTGCTCTTTCCGCTGCATAGCCTGATTGTTTTTTGTGGTGCACTCACTGCGTGTGGACTCATGTGGTGTAGAGGGCGTGGTGGCTCCATTGCTGCACGGACCCTGCTGCTCCAAGGGGAGGCAGCAGAAGGAGGATGCGCATGGACGGGCAGTGGGACGACGAATGGCCGGCACTCACTCCGTGTCGTGCTGATCACTGCTCACCTCTGCATGCGCTTGTGCGCGGAGAGGAGGTCGGGGGCAATGGGAACTGGAGGATCAGGGAAGTGCTCCCTCCTTGCCTCCTTAATTTTCTTTACTTGGCACGTCGTTTTCATGTTGTTGCGGTTGTACTGCCTTTGTGTCCTCGTACATTTTTCCTCGTCCCTTGTCCTTCTGTCTTTGCATTCTGGCTTCTTGATTTCTCCACGACCTTTCAAAGCCCCACCCAACAACTCGCTGTCACTTTTGAATTGTCTCCTTTTTGCTTGCAGAGAAACACACTAAGCAGCACCACCATTCGTGTGCGGCTACCTACAGAGTGGGTCGTTCTGTTTGCGGCCGTGTGCACTAGACATCAACCAACCAATGGCACTCCATGCTCATCTGATGGTGGGGAGCTGCGAGAGACGCTGCTGCTTGCTACTGTCGCCCGGGAGGATTTGTGCTCCTTTGGATGACCGCGCCCTACGCACATCCGCATTCCCCACTATTTCTGCTTCCACCTTTCCTATCATCATCCCGGATCCTTTCCTTCCACCTATCTCTCTGTCCCTGTCGTGCTCCATCCCCTTGGCCTCTCGCTCTCACCGTCCCCCTCCTCAATTCCTGCCACTCCCCCATTTCCCCATTCCCCCTCTCCCCCGTTCCCCCATTCGCCCCCAAGAGTGGCGGGCGGCAGTGACAGCGCGTCAAGGCGCATGGAGACAGTGAGCGCGCACCTGCTCGCCATGCAGGCGCGGGGGGGCGCGGGGGCGGAAGGATAAGTGGCAGGGAGCACAGGGCGTAGGGTGCAGGGGTCAGAGGAAGGGGGGCGGTGCAAGTGGGGGTGGCGGAAGTGGCAGCAATGGTAGCAGCGTGGGTGGCAAGTGGAGTGCGCAGCATGGGGGTTTCCTGGGCGTCGAGGTATGCTGGGCTAGGCTTGGCTAGGCTAGGCTGGACTGGGCTGGGCTCGGTTGGGCTGGGCTGGGCTGGGCTGGGCTGGGCTGGGGATGGGATGGGGTCGTGACTCGCTCGCTGTAGGGTGTGGGCAGGCGAGGGGAGAATGAAAGCTGATAGGGTGCGATGCGAGGTGCATGCTCTGCACAGCCCCATGGCAGCACAACAAGCTTGCCCCAACCTGCTTCTCTCACTTGCACCAGCCCCGCACGCATGGCAGGTGCAGCTGCAACGTTTGAGCAGAGTGCTGGGCGCACAGGGGGAGCAACGTGTGCAACCTGGCAGCGACCTTAGTTGCAAAAGACGCGTCTCGCGTCTAAGACAGGTGCGTCCAGACGCAGCGTCTTGGACGCAGGATGCTTCATGTGGGCCTGGGAGACGCTACAAAAGACGCATGCCCGGGCAGGGCAAAAAAAACCCCTGGGCAGCCATAAATTTTGTTTTAGGGCATGGGAAGAGAGAGGGGGGGGGGAAGGGTGGGGGGGCAACGTTGCACACATGCAAGGCATAATTTTCCCCAACAACATTTTCCCCCCCCAATAATCAAGATCAATGTAAGTCACACATGTCACAAGGTCACATTTAATCCAATCACTCAGCAACAAGCATACTACTACTGCATCAAGGCAACCAATCACTCATCCTCATCCTCCTCGCTCTCCTTCTTCTCCTCCTCCTCCTCCATGTCTTCCTCGTGCTCGTACTCATCGACGCACAAGTCATCCTCGTCCACCTCCACCTCCCCATCCCCCTCCAACTTGCACCCCTCGCGAAAGGGAAGGGTGGGAATGTTCCCCTCAACTACCCCCACCTTCCTTACTTCCCCACTTTGCCCTGCACCAGCCGCACCCCTGTGGTGGCTGTGCACAACATTCCAGTTGTGCGCAACGAACACAAGGTCGCGCACCTTCTCCGATCCCAGTCTGTTCCTTCGCGCCGTGTGCACGCCATCCCACACAGCCCATCCCCGCTCGCAAGGCCAGCCAGGTCGGCGTACTCCCAGCCCTTCAACTTCCACCACGTCACCAATGTCCCCCTTCCCGTCCTTCAGCTCCGCACGCCCCTCTATCGCCTCTTCTGTCCCAAAGCACCCATCGCCCTCAATATACGCCATCATCCCCTCATGCAGGGCCTTCATCGTTCCCTTTGTGCCGCCGGCGTTCTTCCAGTACTTCTCGACGAAGGCCCTCGAGCGTGACAGCCAAGCCTTCATCACCCTGGTGCACTCAATATCCTTGAGGTATATCCCCTCATCTTGGTTGAATGGGTTCAGAATCCGGCCTACCACATGAAGGGGGCACGCCAAACTCTCGTCCCAATGCCACCTCAAATGCTCCTGCACCCCCTCCTTATCCGCCGTTTTGAGCCGACAATCCGCGCTCTCCAACAGTGCCAACAACTCCTCTGTCAGCTGAAGCATGATGTCGTACAACGCCCCCATCACCCCCTTCGCCGCCCCATCCGTCCTCCTCATCACCTTGTACGCCAGCTCTATCATGTATCCACCTTCTTCCACCACTCCACCTTCTTTCCAATCTGCTGATTCCTCCCCTTCTCCTCCCAGTCCTTGTGCACCACCATCTGCATCAGCTGGAGCCGAATCTGGCGCAGAAGAGACAATGCGATTTACTACGTCACAAAGTGCGTACCCGTCGGTCGCAGCGGCTACAGCGACTTCTCGCCGTGCAGCTCGGGACTCCGCAGGAAGGCACGCGTCCACTGGTGGATGCGCAGGAACGAGATCATGTTGTTCGCAACTGTAACGACCTCCTGCGCCCAATCCATCTTGCCGATGTCCTCCATCTGCAAGTCGAGCACACGAGTATCGCAGGGTACGATCTTGATGTGCGGGTACTTCTTGAGTAGCAACTTGCCGGTGGACACGTAGTTGCAAAGCGCGACGACGTGCTCCGGCCCAACCTTCTCGATGATCGGCTGCAGGATGCAAACGATAAACGCCCCACTCTTTGTCCCTGCCTTACAATCGACCGCCTCTTGGAAAACCGCACCACTGGTGTTGATGCAGATGATGTTCATCTGCGCACGCCCGATCTTGTCCGTCATCATGTCGCTGGCGATTGTCACGCCCGTCTCCTTCCAAGTCTTCGTAATGGGCGCAAATCCCTTCTCAATCCGCTGCTTGCACTCCAACAGCCCAGCGCCTCCAACATAGCTATTATTGGTGGAGAAGTAGCTGCTTCCGGCGACGGCGACGGCTCGCAGCATGTTGAAGAAGAGGGGGTGCTCGCACTGAAGCTCCGCCGTGCGTGTCCCCGTGAAGTAGAAGCAAATTGCCTCGTGGGCCACACGATTCACCAAGATCCCCCCCCCCTTGCCATACCAGTCCTCCATCCGTCCGCGCTTAGTCTTCGGTCCCGCTCCGCCTTGGTCGCTCACTGCAGTGAGCGCTGTATCCGTCGCCCTCTCCTTCTCCTTGCGCACCGTAAGTTTGGACTCCTTCATGTCGTGAATTCCATCAGACATGCGCTTTGAGCCTTTGCGCAAACAATCCCGGCCTCGCGCCGAACGTTCGGGTCGTTCCATACGGTGAGATGCTGGGTGCACCGGCTATTACTAAAGGCAAACGTTTTCTCACACCAAAGGCACTCCACTTGCTTCCCCTTTTTAGCCGGATCGTGGAAGGTCCAATAATGCTTTTAAATAAGGTGAGAGGGGTTTCGTGATTTCGTCTCCACCCCATCCATAGTGAACCGCGAGGGGGGGGAAGACTTGCCGACGGCATTATCATCTTTAGATGCGGTGGAGTTCGAAGGATTGGTGGAGGAAGCCATAACAAAGGAGCGCTAAGTAGCTAAAATCACTAGGGTTGGTAAATTGAGGGAGCACAAATAGGCTCTTTGCAACTCTAGATGGGCTTGGTGGTGGGCCACAGTGGTTGGGTGCTGTAGAGTGGTTGTGAGGGTTTAGGTTTCGAATTTTGCATGGAGGGGTTAAAAATGTGTGAGGTGGCTGTTTTTAATGGTCGATTTGGGGGGGTTGGACTAGCCGTGCACTGCAGGGGATGAGGGCGCTGAGCAGGGGAGTGGGAAAGGGAAAGGTGTGGCGTTGTTTTGCAGCGGAGCGAGGGAGGCTTTGCTGAGGCATGTGGATGATGTGAGTCAAGTGGGGAGGGATGATGAGGAGCCACGAGTCAGGTGTGGAGGGATGATGAGGAGCCGCGAGTCAGGTGGGGAGGGATGATGAGGAGCCACGAGTCAGATGGGGAGGAGTAGGGGGTGGGTGTGAGATGAGAGTCGAAGGAGGTTGAGAGTCATGTGGTTAGGTGTGAGTGGGGACGAGTAAGTGCGTGGGAGGGCGAGAGGGGTGGTGGAGAGGAAGGTGAGACTCATGCTTGTACCATTGTACTGACTTGATGATGGCGGTAGGGTGGGAGGGAGGCAGGCGGGCACGTGGGCAGGCGGGCGGGCGGGTAGGCAGTCGGGCTGGTGGGAAGGGGGGAATGCACGCATGCTTACATGTGGGCATGCGGGCACAGTAGTGGCAAGCTGTGAAGTGTACAGCTGAATCCAATCCTCTGCTACCTCAGCCAGCACTGCTCCAGTCCAGCACTGCCTGTGCGCTCCACGCCTTGCCACGTGCCTGCCTCCCTGTGCCTCATGCCTCACATTTCCCACTCTTCTTCAACATCTTCCCTCTCGCGCCCGCTTTCTCCTCACCCCCCCGCTTCCCTGACCAGGCGTGGGGGCGCAGTCTGCGCTCGTTGCAGCGCCTACTAGATGGGCTGAGGGAGCGGAGGGTGGGGGGGAGAGGCGCAGGGGGAGAGGTGGAGGAGAGAGGGTAGGGGGGCCAGTTTTGGCTCGCAATGGGGCAGATGCAGTGGAAGGGGGACAGAAGGGGAGGAAGAGGGGGGGACGGAGTGGGAGGAGGTGGTGGAGGTGGTGGGGGAGATGAGTGAGGGCACGGTGGAGGTCGGAGAGAGCGGGGTTTGCCGATTCGCCAAACGAGCGCAACAGGTGGGTGGCTGATATGACCGACGCCAGGAAAGGGAATCCCCCTTCTACCGCAGGGTTGGTGATGCCGAGGCCTCCTAGTGACGCGGGCAGAGCGGCCTGGTGCCAGATCCGGTCCCTGGGAATCGACGTGTGGGCGGTGGAGAGGTAGGTGTGGAACAGCTCTTCCCCCTAAGCGGACCACTCCCCCAACGGCAGAGCCTCGAGCGGCGTTGATCTGACTAGGAATGAGGCGCGACGACTCACACAGCGGGTGAGCAATAGCAGGCATAGCTGGGGGTCCATCTGAGAGAGGTGCATGAGTGGTTCGGCTGCTGCTGAAAGACGTCGCGCACGCTTGCTGCGCACCCGGAGGGGGGCCCAATGGGGCTGCCCAAGACGCGGATCCCGTCATTGGAGATTGGCATGCCGGGGGGCAGGGCAGCGGGGTCCACTGCGGTGGCAGGCCACACTTGACACTTCGCCGGGTTCTGAGCCAAGCCAAGGCTATGGAGGGCTTCCGTGAAGTGAGTGAAAGCCTCCGAGCAGTTGTCATGCTGCCTACCAGTGTGATATCATTCACGTACAAGAGAATGACCACCTACGGGTGAGCCGCTGCTGTCGCGACGAGGCAACGGTGGATGCTAGCCACGTATAGCAGGGGCCCCAGCGGGTCCCTGAGGAGAACGCCACGCGCGCCCTGGAGAGGATCGGTTTCGAAGTCGTAGTCAAGGAAGAGCGAAGAGGAGCAGCCATATGTTAGGCAGACAAGAGGCACCAGGAAGTCGAGTGTGGTGCCTTTTAGTCCCTCGAAAATTGCCGCGCATTCCACCGCGTTGAATGCATTGGCCATATCAATCCGCAGGGCCATTGCTCCTAGGTACTCCTCAAGGTAAGTGCGCGGTATGTATCACTGCTTCTATGCCTCCGGCAATTGTTACTCCGAATTTAAGCGGGGTGAAGTGTTTGCGCGCCCTCGGAGCAGCTAAGGACAGGGTCGCCTTGGCGACGATTGCAGACATTCGCCTACTGCTATCGGCCTCGTTCCTCCCTAAGGTTTCGAGAAGGCAATTAAACGAGACGCTGTGAGGAGATCCGCCACCTTTGCATTCAGTTTTCCAGCCAGCGTCGTGTTGGTGAGTGCGTGCAGCTGGAGGAATGCGTCTGAGTTCCCAAGGGCCGCGTCTCTCAGGTGCTCAAGGGTAGTTCCAGAAGAACCGGTCCTCACTCCGTTTGGGCATCTGGCTACAACGAGAAACATGAGGAGCTTCCAACAAGTTGACGAGTGAGTTTTGGCCAGGTGAAGTTGTGAACTGTCAAAATGAGGAAATGGATGATGCATTGATGTTGGTTGGGGTACATATAGCTAACCCTAAGTTTTGTACCCCCTAAGACAATCCTCACTATAGGCTACAACAATTGACACACCCCCATAGTTTAAGTGAGGGGTGTCTAGCAGAACCAAAAGAGTACGGTCACAAGACCAGTCCAAGAAACAAAGCTCAGGGTGGATCACAACGTCACCACACACTCTGAGCACAAACACCAGTGGCCACAAGGCCAGTCCAAGAACTCACAAGATATACAGCAAATGTACAAGCAAGACAAACAGTCAACTCAAGTCTACACAAGACGAGAACCAGTGTCAACAAGGCCTAACTGCACACAACACCTCTGGTGGTCACAAGGCGGAAGCGCCTTGGTGAAGATGTCTGCAGTGTTGGCCTCGGACTCCACAAACTCGAAGCGAGCCTGTCCACGTCTCTGCAACTCTCGCAGAAGAAAGTACCTGACGTGAATGTGCTTCACTCTGCTCTCCAGTCGCGGCTCTCGACAAAGGAGAATCGACGCCTTGTTGTCAGTGAACAAGGTCGGTGCAGAGCTCGGCCGCTCACCAAGGTCGGCAAGCAAGAACGTCAACCAACGCAGCTCCTGTGCCGCCATGGCACCAGCGTAGATCTCAGCCTCAGCTGTAGAGGTCGAGACCGAAGAGGAGCGCGTGGACCGCCAAGAAACAGCTCCAGAACCCAGGCTGAAACAGTACCCCTGAGTAGACCTGTGAGTCTCAGTGTCGTCAGCGTAAGAAGAGTCATAGTGACCAGTAAGTACGACAGACTGCTGCCCTCCAAGAACCAGCCCCACGCCTGATGTCGTCGCTAGGTACTTCGCCACCCTCACAACTGCTGTCCAGTAAACAGGGCGGTGTCTCTCTGGCGCAACAAAGCGCGCCAGGACACTGAGAGGGAAGGCGAGGTCCGAGCGAGTACAAGTCATCAGGTACATGAGGCAACCCACAAGCTCTGCGTAGGGACCACTAGGCTCAAACGGCTCGTCAGGAAAGGGTCCAGTGAGTCTGTGGTCAACAGCAAGAGGTGTGCGCTGTACTGTGGAGTGCTGAAGCCCGAACCGCTGAAGGACCTGCTGCACCATGTGTGACTGTGAAAGTGTAATGGTGCAAGCAGCTCTGTCCCTGGTGATCTGCAGTGACGCAGGCCAAGGTAGTGGCGCAGCTCACCAAGGTCAGTGCAGGTGTGTCTCTTCTGCAGTTCGGACTTCACGTCTGCCAAAGCAACCCTGTCAGCAGTGGCGAAAACGAGGTCGTCGACGTAGACCAGAACAAAGAACGGTGTGGAGCCGCGACGAACGAACAGCGACGGGTCGGCAGAAGACGGCTGGAACCCAAGGTCAGAGAGGGTAGAACGCAGAGTGTCGTGCCACTCACGAGGGGCCTGGCGAAGACCGTAGACAGGTCGCCTCAGCCTCCACTGGGTCCCAGGAGGGAAGGTGCCAGTGAAGGCAGAGGGACGACGCAGCCAGACCTCCTCGTGAAGACTGCCCTGAAGGAAAGCAGTGGAGAAGTCGAGAGAGTGTAACTCGTAGTCTCTCTGTGCTGCTACGTGTAGTAACACCCGAAGAGTGGTCATCTTTGGGGTAGGCGCGAAGGTCTGAAAGAAGTCAACCCCCTCGCGCTGACTGAAACCTCTAGCCACGTAACGCGCCTTGAAGACCGGGGGAGATCCCGGCGGCCGCTTCACCCTGTAGATCCACATGCCGTCGACTACGTTCGCCCCAGGAGGGGGAACCTCATCGACGTAGGTGCCTGTGGATCTGTAGGAGGCCATCTCTGCGTCCATGGCAACTCTCCACTGAGAGGCCCAAGGCCCTGACACTGCCTCAGCGTAAGTGCGAGGAGTCGGAATGTCAAGGGCGTCTGGGTCACCCTCAGGGGCGAGGAGCATGGCACAGAGATGAGGGGAAGCGGCTGCCAGGAACTCTAGCTCAAACTGCCTATCCTCTAGGGCGTCACAGCCAAGGGCAGACACACCCCCGACGGCCAGAGGACTGGAAGGAGGAGCAGCCACAAGACCGGTGGCGAAGTCAAGGCGGCGGGTAGAGGCAAAGTCAGTGACTGCGGCAGTAAGAGCGGACACAGAGGACACAGAGGCACGAGGGTGAGTAACAAGCGAGGCGAGAACACGAGAGAGAACAGGACGGTACGTGCGGTAGTAGTCAGTGACAGGAGTAGAGAGAGAC